ATAAATGTATTAGTTTGTATGAAGGTTATAAAAACTCAAGTACTTCTTTTCATCCTATCCAGGCATACACTATCTTTAATTCAATACAAATATATTGTAATCACTAATGAAATCGATATCTTTCATACTACGAAGCCCATGCATTGAATATATGACTAACAATTCTATTTTATAAAATTATGCGGAAATTGTTTATAAGTTATCTATAGTCAATCAAATAGAATAACTATGGCACTGTCTAATATGTATCAAAAATGGGATTGGTTCATATATTTTTTTGAAACCGAACCGCATTGACTTAACTTTTTAAAAAAGTTCGAACCAATTCTATCTGTGATATGTATTATCAAATGTTGAAGAAAAGAAATAAACTTTTCATATTTTATTTGCAAAATTAGAGAATAAATATAGCTTCTTGATTTACTTAATATATAAGAAATTAACATATTATTCTATTATATAAAGATCTGATTAATTGGAAAATGCCAATAATAAATCATATTGATGATGGAAACTTCCATTTATTTATTTTTTTTTGATTCATAGGAATGAAAAAAGAAACCCAATAATGTCTTGAATGTGTAATTTTTTCGAGCAAATATGCTTATGAATCATAATCAGTTATTTTGCCAACTTCTTCGGGACTGATTATCGATGTATAAATCAGTGATAAACAGAAAAAGGTTGTTGGATAAGTTTGCATTATATGAAATAAACACGATGAAGTGTGATTCATCTAGTATTTAAATAAAAGAATCTTCTTACATCATAATAAAATTGCGTATTTATGAAAACAGATTATAAAAACAAGCAGCTGATGAAAAGAAAAAAAATTTCTTTTTACAAAAGTGCTATTGCCTTCGAAAATAAAAACATGTTAGTTGATGAAATTTCCTTCTCTTAAGTTTTTCTTATTTGATATGTAATAAAAGCCTTTTTTTCTTCCAACGAAATGTTTTTCATTTAATTGATTTAATAATGACTTTTTTTGTTTTTTATTTTTATTTTCTTTCTGTCAGTTGTAAAGTATCTTTTAAATCATCACGCATTTGAAAATGCCATTAACCTTCGAATATAATAGAAGACCTTCTGTCTTCTATTACGGCCTAGAGAACAAATATTTCAGAGAGATCTTCTATTACGTTGTTCGTTGTTTTAATGACTAATAATTAAAAATCATATTTTACAAAAATGTAAGAGTTTTGAGTGTCTGATAAGTTTTTTTTTGATGTTTAAAAGATGAAAATTGTGAAAATTAAATACAGTTATGTTTAAATGTAAGATCGTCTATCACAAAAAAATAGGAATGTTCAATGGACACTTCCCTCCGTTTTTCGTAATTTTAAAGAATGACTCAAAAGAAAATTTTGAAAGCTTCAAGGCTAATAAATTTAGATGAGTAATCATAGACTAGGGAATTTTTCGATGGTTTCCTGTAAGGGATATTAGAATTGCGCAAGAGAACAAAAATGATCTACTCTTATGGTTATCTTCGTTCTCAGACACAATAAGTCAAATAGGGGTAAAATGTTTTAAATAGATACTGCAATAAACTTTGCTTGGGTTGTCTACCTTTTCTTTTTGTGTTTGGTTTCTTTTTATCTCATTTCGTTCGAATAAAAACAACAAAATCTTGAGTGCAATTGTAAAGTCATATTTTCTCGGAATTTTTAAGCTAGAATTTTAGTTTTTGAAACCTTGACAAAAATCAGCAATATATCGTATTTTGAAAGAAAAAAAAATACCCAGTCTGAACATTTTCTAGTATAATTAGAAGAAAGTTTCACTTCAATCAAATGTACTGTAATTGAGCAAAGTTGGTAATTCTCCAACTTTCTTTTTAATTAAAAAATAGCTCATTTTCTCAAAAGTAGTGAAATCATGTGTAAATTTTGATTTTTTTTTTCAACGACGATTTTCTATCATTTCGACTTCTATAGTTATATATTAATTCTTGAAATATATTCAGTAGAAAGAGGATACATCGAAGTGTAGACATAAATAAAAAATTTAAAAACTTTCAGTCGAGTTATCTGTTTTCATTCTTCCAGATTAATAATTAAACAATAAATCAAATGTCAAATCTAAATAATTATGGTAAGAAATTTTTCAATAAAAAAGTAAATTGTAGTCATTTTATTCTTGATTAGATCCTAATGAAGAACTTCCTTCACCATCATTTGAAGTACTAAATCAAATGCTCAGTAAGTTTTATTATAATTAACAATAAACATATTTTATTATTTGATTTCTTGTTTTTTTTTTGTTTTGTTTAGGTCTACCAAATATTTTTGATGAGAGTAAATATGACTTTGTCAAATTTATTTATTTTTTTCTATTTTACAATATAGATAAGAGTTCTACACCAACTGGTATTGGTCCATCTTATCATAATAGTTTAGATTCTCTAACACAAGCAATAACACTTTCTGGAATGTTTCCATTTGAAAATCTTCAACATAGTTTAGATACTAATAAATGTCAACATATTTCTTCGTGTCATAATCTTGAAACAACTTTATCAAGCCATAATAATTTTAAAGTGACTTTAATGAATAGTAATTCTAAAAGTTTATTATCGGATGCAGATATTATTTGTCATTCAAAATTGGAATCCGAAGATGAAAAACTTCTTATTCTAGCTGAACCAAAAGCATTTTATCGTGATAGATATTCTTGTGAAACTGATCGAACAAAGAATCGAGCTCAACGTTATATTCGTGCTGATGATAATCAACTCAAATATGAATATCCGACTGTTAAAGTATTTCATATTCATTTTTATTTTTCATATTCATTAGTTTTTTTTTTACAGATTCCAACGAAATGGCGTGATCCAAAGCGACAAATATATATTCGAGTTACATCAGTTACTATAAAAAACGAACTTTTACTCTATCATTGTATACATCCTTATGAAATTGATACATCAGAAAATAATGTTATTAAAGATCCGGAGAATAATTCATTATATTTTCGTATTAATAAAGATGAATTTATTAAAGGTGAAAAAAGGTTAAAAAAAAATTAACAATAGTCCTACTAGGATGTTTTTATTTTAATTTTATAATTTTAGTTTTCAAATTAGTCGAAAAAAAATGCTTCAAAATGATTTAAAATCATATGGACCTTTTCGTTTATTTGGTTCAGGTAAGAAAATATTTTAATAATAATCATATATATGATTAAGTAATATTTTATATATATCTTAGGTCAACCTGATACACAATGCATCCTCAATTCACAAGATGCCAAATGCAAGATAGCTACATATCAATTAAAGAAATCTCAATTTATTTTTACCATTGCTGAACGACATAATAATAGGTTTTTTCCTATTCCAATACTTGATACATCCGTTGCATCGCAAATTATAGTTGATGAAGTAACTGATAAAAAAAGTTAGTTTTGATTTCAAGAAAAATTTTCTAAAAGAATTATTTTTTTCTTTTTGAAGACTCAACAATAAACCCTTCAAACGATCAAATTAAATGTATACCACAAAAAGGTGATTGGCAAGGTGGTGATGAAGTGTTAATTATTATGCCTAAGCCAATCAAAGGAAAAAGTTTATAGAATTAAAACTTTTTCAAATTCATATTTAACCTCTTTTTCGTTTTATTTTTTTAAAGAGTATACAATTTGTTTCGATTTTGGTCTATTTGGAGAACAAATTGTTAATGAAATAACACATATTGATACAAAAACAATTTTATTTCGAACACCACCATGTCCAATATTACCAGGAGATAAAAATTTTCAAGTATCAGTTATTATTAAAGAAAATAATTTACTCGTATCTTCAATTGATTTTTATTATGTGACACGTATGTAATAGAAATTCAAACAAATATCAATAACTATATTTATCTATTTATTTATTTTAGCAATGAAACCAACAATCAATCTATGTAGACGTTGTCAAAATAATATAAATGATAATCGTAGAAGTAATAAAAGAAGATGTGAATATAATGAATATATTGAAACTGATAGTGGAGAAAGTCTTATTTCACATATGAAACAATTATCAATAGAACAGGTTAGTTTATTTTATTTCTAGACTTTTTATCTTATATAATTATTGTAGAAACCTATTCAATCTCATATTCCAATTTCATCAAATGGTATATCAATTTGTGAACAATATCTGCCTTTCATATATCTATTGCTTTTTTCTTTAGAAAAAGATACAAAATTTGATAAATATCTTAATCAATTAAAAGTTGCTTTAGAAAAATTTGTTCGTACAAATGATCCTTCTCAATTATTTCGTCGAACACGTATTTTGTTATCTAAATGTGATGAAAATTCACTTCCATTGAATGATGCTATTCAACGTGGACATATAGAAATAGCATTATCACTTATTGAACAAGTTCTTGATATGAATTCATCACAAGGATTATTAGAAAAAGAAAATGAAAATGGTGAAACACCATTATTAATTGCAGCTAAATGTAATCAATGGAAATTAATTGAAGTTATTCTTAAAAATCGATCTGATCTTGTTGAACAGAAAGATAAAAATGATAATAATTTATTACATTTACTTGCAAATTTGAATGAAGATGAAGGTGCAGAAACCATTGGAAATATTTTCAAAATTTTATCCAATGACACAAAACAAATTCTGTTGGTTGGAACGAATAAACTTTCTCAAACACCATTGGAGATTGCACAATCTCATGGCAATACTCAATGTATTGATGTGTTAAATTTTTCGATCAATGGTGGGAATAAAAGCATGTGATTTGTAATATCAAAGATTTGGTTGTATTTTTCCTTGTTTTAGTTTTTTTTTTATAAATTTTCTCCAAATAAATTCATTCTAGAACTACACGTCTATTGAAAAATTGGGTTTTTTTCTCATGAGTCAGAATAATAAAAACAACATTTTATAAGCACATTTGATATTACGCACTTTTGAAAAGAAATGAAGAAGACAGAATTCATTTGATAGTATTATTTTGTTTTAGATTTTATTAAACATCAAAACTATGTTGAATCCATCAGATCAATTTATTGATGATTTATTAAATGGTATGAGAAATAAATAAAGCTTGTTTTCTATATTTTATTCTTCTGTTTTAGAATCAGATAATCTTCACGATTTAGCACTTTTCGATCCTTTGGATCCCAGTAAAGGTCTGCAAAAATCAATCAACTTTATGCAAGTATGATTTTTTTTTTCTTTCAGAATTAGCTATACTGATCAGTTCTTCTCTTGTTCCATCTGACACCAGTAAGTATCTTTTAATATCAGAAAAAAGATAATAATTATCTCATTTAGATATGGAAACTCCATCATCTCTTTCATCAGGAATTGGTTCTGATTCAAATGATCAGGAATCGTGGAATAGTATGTTTAGAAAAAGTTTTCACAAAAACGAATTCAAATGATTTTTTAGTTGATTTAGTTTAAAAAAAATAATAAACTCTTTGTTTTTATTTGTATTTGAGCTTTTGGATGATTGATTGTCAAACGAAAGTTTCTTCACAAATTTACTTTTGATTTTTACCAATTGGAATACTAGTTATTTAAATGCACATGAATAGAAAGAGTGAGAAGAATAGAAGAGAAGACAACTAAGAATTGAAGGTGGATGGTCCGAAATTCGAATCCGAACGGATCCTGATCTAAAGTTTTTCTGTTAACTACAGCCGAAAAATTTTGAATGCGATGTGTTCTAGTCGTTCGGGAAATATGTAGAGTGCACTAGCATCGAATATAACAAAAACTCGGAAGAAAGTATCTCGTATCTTTGAGACGACCATCATCTAATTCCGATTAGAAAATTTCATTGAGAGTATCAAAGTATGGTCCGACTGGGTTCCAGAATTTTGAACCCAACGCGGTCTACATGCACACTTTTCAACATATGGCAAATAGATAGTGGAACGGAAGACAATGATGACTGAAGAGAAAATAGTATTTCCAAGTTTGTTCTTCTTTCGTTCCACTGTCTGTTTACTATATGTTAGAGAGGATGTGCGCCTCATCTCTTGTGATCACCCATCTTCTTTTATTAGCTCTCTTCTCCTCTGATCTTCTTTCTCTCTCTCTTTATTTACATGCATTTAAATAGTGAAAACTCCAGTTGATAAAAATTATAAATAAGTTTTTAAAAAAGTTGTTGTTCGAAAGGAAAATATGAAAAAGCTCCAATATAAATAAAAAGAAAGAGTATATACATATTTTTTTTAAATTCAATTAATCAATAAGATCTTTGTGATTATTCATCAATGTTGTTCTTTTTGTTGTTTCACAAGATTGTGCTTTACCAACAAATATGCAATCAAATAGGCCACGTCTAAAAATCATAGCTCAACCATATTCTGGTGGAAAATTACGCTATCGTTCTGAATTTGACAAGAATAAAAGTCGTTTAGGTGTTCTAAAAAATCGAAATGAAGAGTCAAATTATAAAGGTCCTGCGATTCTTGTGAGTTTATTTATCATAATAATATATTATAAGAATTTTTTTTATTAGATTCCAGAAGATTATCGAAAACCAAATGATAAATATTATATTCGCGTTTCTCTTGTCACGGTTGAATATAAAAATACAAATCTACATTATTTTCATCCATATGAACTTGAACATCCTTTGAATAAGGAAATTAATGATAGAGATCATAATTGTGTTTGGGTCCCAATTCAAGAAGAAGATTGTCTTTCGGGTACTAAAAGGTATTTACAAAAAAAACAATTATCCAAAGATTTTCTTTAGGTTGTTTTAAAATTTTCTATTATTATTTAGTTTTCCATATTTACGTATCGTAAAAACACGAGCTTGTCATTTACAAACTTCTACAAGTTTACGTCCATTTGATTGTGATAGTAGGTTTTGTATTTATTTTATGAAAGATTTATAATCAATGAAATATTTTTTGTTATTATTATTATTATTATCATTAGGTCAAGATTTACAAAATCATTCACTTGTACAATTTTCTTGTCCAAAAGACATAATTAATGAATATAATCTTAATAAAAGTCAATTAGCATTTACTGTTGCAAAAGAAGTAACTATTGATGGTCGATCTATGATGGAACTTTATTCAGATACAACTGTTTATTCCGAAGAAATAGTTGATGGTGTTGATATAGAATCACCTGTTGACGATGTTATAGAATCAACTGTTGACAATGTTATACAATCAACAACTCCAACAACAACTTCATTGATTTCTAATTGTCGTGTATATAAATATGCGCCTAAATCTGGTTTTGATACAAGTAATGAAGACATGCTTATTCTTTTAACAAATAAACTTGAACCAAAAAAATATGGAAGTTAGTACTGAAGAAAAAAAAACCGAATGTATATTTTAATTTTAATTTTTATAATCTAATAGGATTAGAAATTACATTTGAATGTAATCTACCAAATCATCATTGGTCACAATCAATTGATAATATTGATACTAAAGATCGAACAATATCATTTAAAACACCAAAATTTCCATATTCATTCGAGATCGTACAACCAGTTGATGTCATATTGAAACAAACTAATCGTACTTTAGGAACATTAAAATATTACTATATGTCAACATGTAATAACATAGATGATTTTAAAATTTTTGTGAAAATCAAATATCTTTTGTTTTCTCTTTCAAGTGACTCCATGTTCAAGATGTCAATCATATGTTGTTGAAAATCGAACTGATTCAGTACCAAATGTACCAAACAAACGTCTATTTTCTACAACTGATATAGATGACTCCGTATCTGATAGTAAGAATAAACCATTTACATTAATTTAAAATTAAGATTAGAGTTATCATTTAACACTTAATATTAAAATTAAGTTTTTCCATTTAACATTTAATTCATTAATATTAAGTGGTTGACATGAAAAAAAAAATACTATTTCATTTTGATATTTTTTTATCAAAAAGAAAAGTTAATTTAAGAAATGTTACGAAGTAATTTTTATAATTTTTTCAGGACTCTCTGGAGATGATTATCATAACTCTTTAAGATTTGCCTAGACATAGTCATTATAAAGTTTGACGATTGGCTGGTGTCCCTCCTTAGACAGAAGGATTTTTCATAATGCGGCTGAACTAAAAGGCATTTTAAATAACTTGAATTAGTCATTAATATGTAGAAGAATATAGGTCAAGGGTATTAACACATAAGTGTTTAATGTTAGGCGTTGACCAATCCTTTATGATTGGCATCAAGTTCAACTGTTTTGTTTAATATTTAATGTAAAATATGATGATTAATTGATGAACGTTAGGCGTGTGCCATTCAGTTTCAGAATTTTTCTTGCGACTAAGTCGTTTTTCGAGAACAACGATTTTCTATCAGATTTGATCAAAAGCTGCTGGAGTTGGCAAATTCTTTTCACCTACCATTTTTTAACTAGGACTGTACCATTTTATTTAACGAGACTTAATCAAAAACGTTAATTAAGTCTCGTTAAATAAAATGGTCCACTCCTACTTGATAGTATTGAACTGGATTCGAAAAATATAGATAAATTTCAACAATCATTATTAAAACCAGTGAGTTATATCTATAGTTTTCGAATCAATCACATAAAATATTAATTTCTTAAAATTACAGGAATCATTGCTATCATCAGTCACCACATCGAACTTTAGTAAGAAGTTTATCTTATGTCATACTGCATACTGTAGATAGAATCTAGTGATTTGTATATTTTTTCGGTTAGCCTTATTATTTTATAGAGTGTAGAACTATAATATAGTATGATAGTAAGTCGAGATGATGTGAAAGACTTTAGTGTGTTCAATACTAATAGCAATCATCTAAGATTTCGACTGATTTCATCAATCCTGTGAATTCAAAATCTAGTATTCTATTTTCTTACTCGGTATGATAGTTTCATATCAACAAATGTCTATTGGTTTGACTTAGGACTCGTCATTAGATGTTTCATATTAGATGAGTTATTTTAATACAAATCTAACAAGAGAACGTTTTCAACTAATCAGTGGCTTTTTAAATGAAAGCTACTGGATTATTGTTTATCGACTATGCTGATTCCGAATATGGCCATGAGGAATCTCTTTAGATCTTCATATGTTGTTCTTTTTTAGTAAATTAGTTTTCGAAACTGACAAACTTTTCGCCAAAAAATTTTTTATGATCTGTCCAGATTATAGAGTATATCGAATTGTCTCGAAAACAATAACTTTTTCTGTTTCAATTCGTTCTTTTTTGCAGAAAATAGAGCTATTTGAATTCATACCACACATACATATCAGACGTCTCAATGGAGGCTGGATCGAATCCAGTCCATGGGCTAAGATTCTTCCATTGACTAAAACATTTCTGCAATGAACAGCAAGTATATAAAGCAAAATAAAGATGCAAACATATCTCTATGTTAGAATGTTTTTGATTTTCCAATTATAAAAAAATCAGAAAATATACTGATGAGTTCAATAGAATTGAAGATTTTGTAAGTTGTCAAATATGTTACCAAACATTCGTTTATAGATCAATTACTAGTACTCGAAATATGTTTGCTTTTTCACATACTAAAAATGTATGAACTGGCTTTCTTCGGCTTAGTTCACCCTATTGAGACCTATAATACATGTCAACATTCCAATTTGAACATCTTCAAGATGATATTATTTTACTTAAAACTCATTTTGGAAAAACAAAATAAATCAGCATGATCGATAATCCATAATCTAGTAGTTTTTCATAATAAAGCGATTAATCAGTTGAAAATATTTCCTCGTAAACTGATTCAAGTAAAATGAATACTTCAATAATCTCGAATGTATTTAAAAGAACGCTCTATTGATTTTCATTTTAATATTTTAGCTTTTCAATCACTGCACATTGATTCAACTAAAGATGCCAATAAAAACCTGATAGATACGATTCATGATGCTGTTGAATCATTATTTCTAAACAATGATTATACTTTATTTCTACGTTTATGTCGTCCATTCATTAAGAAACGTCCAAAATTACTTCATGATGCTTTGGATAATAATTATTCTGATCTTTTATTAAAATTTATTCCAATTGCTTCAATTGATATTCTTCAGCAAACAAATGAACTTGGTGAAACTGTTCTTTTACATGCTTTACGTCTCAATCAGATAGAAATTATTCAAACTTTATTACAACGAAATAAATCAGAAGAACTTATTCAATATATTGATGACAAAAGAAATAATATTTTTCATTTAATTGCATCACATTCAATTTCATTAGAAATATTTGATTTATTAATTAATTATCTTCATGAAAAATTAATTTCTATTAAAGAAAAATTTGATCATTTTAATCAAGATTATCAAACACCATTACAAATAGCTATTTCAAAAAATAATCTATTACTTACAAAATCTCTTTTGCCATATTCTAATACTAATATACACGAAATAAAGAATCGTACAGGTGATAATCTTATTCATCTTGCAGTTCGTTCTGGAGATTTAGCAATGATTAAATATTTAATTGAAGATGGTAAATTAATTAAACAAGGTAATCAATCCAATTTAACAATGACACCAAGTGAATTAGCTCAATCACTTAAACATGATGACATACTGAAATATTTAAATGAAATATATCCTCAGGAAGAAATTGATGATGATTCAAGTTCAGATGATAATTAAATTACTGTTTTCATTTTATAAACATCTTGAAAAAAACCCTTCTTTCTCAAATTCTAATAAAGTAAAATGAATTCTTTATCAATATGATAAAAAATTCATTTTACTTTGAAAAGAAATAAAAAATAGAATAATTTATAATAAAATCTAAATTACATAGTCTCTTTAATTTTTATGTTCTTAATCATGTTGATTTTATGTAATAGACAAAAATTATTGTCATATACTATGTAATCTCGATGTTTTAATTACTTTTTTTTTCTACATGTGTATGTGTTTGTTTTATATGGTTGAATAATAATGACATTTAGAATGAAGCGAATTGCGTTAAAACTATATAGATCTAAAACGATGATGATGAAATAACTAATCTTTATCTAACTTTTAGTAAAAAAGAAATACTCTTGATGATAAAATGAAATAAGAAATAATGAAATGCAGGTAATGTCATTTTCTTAAATACTATATAAGGATAAGTATCCATGAAACTTAAAAATTCTAATTATGTTAAATAAATTAAGTATTTATAACAAAAAACGATTGTATTCTCACTAAATCATAAATATTTAGAATAGAATTGAATCGTACTTTGCAATAAAATAGAACATTCAAAATTACAACCAAATAATTGATTCAACAATTAAATAATTAAAGTTTGCTATTGTTTTTTGTTTATTAATTCTCTCAACAATCGCTACAAACTTTTGGTTTCATGTAATATAAACATATTTTGAATTAGCATATGCCGATTTATAGTACTCCAATAATGATACTATAAAGTACAAATGAAAGGCCAATGAATACTATATTTTGTTTTCCTTCTTCAATCTAAGTTTCTCTACGATATTGTGCAATGACTAAGGTACTTCTGATGATCCAGCGACACAAATATATATGGTTTACACGACTTCTTGTCGGCAGATTTACTGTCCATTGATTACTTTAAAGAAGAGAAATTAGCAAATGAGTAATCATTTCAGCAATCAATGTACTGTCAGAATTAAAAAAATATTCCAATAGATATATGGACAAATACAAAAACAATAAAGAGAGATGACTGTTTAACTATTTGATGTACGTCAAAAATATCTCAATCCAACAGCTTTCAAGAACACTGGAATATCAATACAATCTTCATTATAATATTGTCATAGTTTCATTAAAGATTCATCTGTTATGATTTTATTTTTCCGTCATTTTAGGCATGGCGCTCCAAAATCATCTCATATTCTTACAATTGATGCTAACAATTATTCTTTTTCCAGTAAATCAATCACAATATTAATATTTGGATGCGAAGAATTTACACATTTTTCTCATTCGAGAATGTTGACCTTTGAAATAATTAATAATATGTGATGTTATATTATGTTTGAAGAATATATTGGAATTGTCTTCTGATAATACATTGATTCTCACAATGACTACTTATTTGCTCATTTCTCTTCTTCCAAATAATCAACAAACAGTAAATCGTATACATGATTTTCCATATTATCGTTGAACTTTGTTTTAACAAGTAAAATGTAAGACATCTATGAAATTAAAACACATCACAATGAACTTTGACTTTAAAAAAAAAACAAGATAGTCTTATGGGAAAAATTGACTGAGAATTTTTCAGAGATTGAAATTATCTTCGCAAATGTTATCTTCTATTCCAGATGAGATATTTTTCACAGAATGTCTCACTGTCCTCATCTTAGAAAGTTTTATTTTAGTTCGGTTTTTCGAAGAATAAAAGATATTAATAAATAATGGATGCTAAAATTATTCAATTAGGTTTATTTTCATTTTTTTCCTTTGCTGTAAAAGCTAGAAAGAATCTAAATAATGATTCGAATAGAGAAGATGGTTTCCAACAAGGACATAAAGAAATAAAAACTATTATCAGACTTCTAAAAGTATGGACTCCAGAAAACCAAAAGACTACTTTTTTAGCAACTAGAACAGGTAAATATAGTTTTATTTAGACTACATAGAAAGCTAGAGTAAATAATTGCCTACTAAATGCAACGTCTTTGAGTCATCTGTAATGTTTTTTTAGCTGAGATACGGCAATTTTACGCAAATCTCTAAAGTTGTTTTTCTATTATTTCCTATTGAAAAGATGGTTTTTTTGACCTTCAATCATATTGTTGTATGTCAGCTAAGAAAAGGTCGCAGACAATTTGGAGTCATCTCATTTTGTAGAGAATTACTTACTCTAGCTTTCTATGTAGTCTAAACAAAACTATATTTACTCGTTCTAGCTGTTGAAAAACTAGCCTTTTGGTTTTCTGAAGTCCTTATTTTTAAAAGTCTGATAATAATTTTTATTTCCTTATGTTCTTGTTGGAAACCATTTTCTCTATTCGAATAACAATTTGAATTCCTTCTGGTGCTTACAGCAACGAGAAAAAATACTGAAAAATAAACTTCGTTAAATAATTTTGGTACTCGCTGTACATCAACAGAATAACTTCATCTACATAAAGACTTCTGTGTATAAGAATGAAACAACAGTAAAATAAACATTATTGACTGAGAGAAAAAAACAACTAGTAACTTATGAAAGAGTATCAATCACATAGAAAAACAAATGATGTAAAAGCAAAAACAACAAGAACAACTAACTGTTTCGTCGAGTATTTTTCATTCTAGCAAACAGGCGTCATAGTGAAATTACGCATTTTGTTTTTGCTGATGACATGGACACAATATACAATAAGATATGGATCTGCTATGACGTCTTCTAACACTATTATCTTATCAATAACAAAAAGTCGAATAATATTTCAAGTCATTGATGATATTAGTCTCATAGAAAAGTAGACCTATACTAATGATAGAAAATATTTTTTATCTTGTTATTGTTGCTGACAAAATCTCTTTTACCACATAGTTTATTTCTACATAGATTCATTCAACATGATATTCATTTTATTTTGCAAGTGACATAGATATTTATCCTTCCAATAGAATCATTTCTATTTTGGTGGATTTAGTACTTTTTTTTTGTCTTTCCCATGGTATTTTCCCCATTCATTTGTATAAGGAAAGAATTCTTACACGTCATTTACTAAGAATAGCTTATAAATATGTCGTATTTATCAACGTGTATATGACGTTATTGATTTATTTTTGATGTGTTGTTGTCTACTTTTGCCCATTTGTTGTACTGATTGTTTATGCATGACGTTTTAACCTTTCCTTGTCAATCCTTGTTTTCGTCTTCCTTTTTCTAAGATTTTGTGTCTATTCTTGATTTGTCATATGTTTTTTTCCCATGGTTAAATTATTGTTCCACATCGTATTCTAATTTTCTCTTTTTCTCTCTCCGCTGTCTTGTCCCCTCTACATATTTAAGCAATGGATATTATAAAGTAGACATTAGATGATTACACTAAAGCCATTATAGTGTACAGATATCAAGCAATCTAAAAGACAAACTAATATATTGACTTCTTTAACTTGTCATAAACTGATTTTTTTAACATTAAAACTATTGATCTCATGGTTTATTTAAACGATTACGGTATAAATATTGTATAGAAAAATCAACTTATACCACTTTTTTTTTCAGCAGACCAAAGCGATGCATATTTCACACCAACATCAGAAACATTAGAGCAAATGCTTGGTAAGTTTTTTTTTGTGGCAAAAATGTAGTTTTTTTCTATTATAATTACCGGTAAAATTCATCCAGTATTTTCGTTTTGAGAGAATGCGAATAATGATGTTTGAATTTCTTATTCTGTACTATTTGATATATATATATATGTAGATATAGATATAAATATCAATAATATTGGTACTACTTTAACTGATTTGAATTCATGGAATCTTTACAATTCAAATCCTCTACAAAGATCAACAACAGATTTTGATGAAGTTTTCATGACTCAATTTCAAAATGTCTGTGGTAATAATAATGATTTGGAACTCTATGCCTCAAATGCTGAACGTGTAATTGATACAATGGATGATTCATACGTTGAAGCTCTATTAAATGATTGTCAATATGAAAGAATTCACATTATTTCTCAACCAAAAGCATTTTATCGTGGACGATATCCTAGTGAAATTGATAAACTTAAAAATCGAGCTAAACGTTTTATCCGTGCTGAGAACAATGGTAACAGACATGAATATCCAACTGTTCAGGTATTTATATTTCATTAAAAAAAATTAAACAGAACAGATATTAACACAACAAACAGACAAGAAGAGATCATATAAAAGATGCTAATAATAAAGGATATAATGATTACTATACTTGGTATTCAACTGACATAATATATATATATTGGAGAAGAAATTAAAATTCAGAAAAATTGTAAATTTTCCCAGGATAAATTAAAATTTCAGTTTTTCCTATAGGAAAAATTGAAATATCTTTTATATCCAGTAGAGTCAATAGAAGATCAGAATGAAATAAAAATGATAACGTAGGCAGAACAAATGTTACATTTAAACCACTGTCATGTAAGATGATATCAGTTTAATCAGTATTACATGACATGTGTACCTATCGATTATGTACAACAACAACAGGTATAATCTCCTCACAGTTTCAAGCATTCAATCTATTGGATGTATCTAGCTGTAACTTTAGCAACTTATATAATGTCGATTCAACAACATTATCGACAATGATATTTATTCAAGTAAGCAAAGAGTATGTGAGTACAGGATTAAGGACTGCTATTGAAGCATGTAACTGTAATGGCACTTGTTCAAGAAAGAAATGCCATTGTCGGGCGGTAATAATACAATATGATATCAAATGTCATTCATCAAAGATGAAACCATGTTCAAATGTTTAGTTTAAACTCCGTATATTTGGCATATATAAATAATAAAGTTTGTACTATGAGTTCAGGAGTATTCAAAATTGTCCGACAGGAAAAACTGAAATTTTAATTTATCCTAGAAGGAACTAGAATTTTAAGTTTTTTTTTGAAAAAATTCGACTAAAATTGTAATTTCAAATTGTTCTAGAAGAAATTAAAATTTTAATT